TAAGAGGGTGCAGGCCAGGCCAAGGGACCCCATTGTTGCATGATCAGGGCTGGGGAGAGACATGGGAAGTCGGTCAGCCTGGGAGGAACCACTGGAGGGCTCTAGGGTGTGTCCGGCCCTTCTCGCTGGATTCCAGCAGCAAGCTAACCCACCAGTTGGAGTGTCTGCCCCCTGGTGGTCAGTGCACATCATAGCGACTGGTCGACTGGTCGACTGTCTGCCCCCTAGTAGTCAGTGCATGTCATAGTGAGCAGTTGAGCAGCCTTAGCATATCATTAGCATATTACTCTTTGATTGGTTGAATGGCCGACCAGTTGATTGGACACTTAGCATATTAGGCTTTTATTATATAGGATTCACTCAAGACTCCCCCACCCACCCATTATCAGTTATTTGGAGGAGTTCCTTTCTCTCTTCCATCTTATGTTGCAAGAACCACCTGGCAGGACAAGAGGGAGGTGGGACTTATACTGACCTGAAATAGGTCTACTGAGCATCACAATCTTGAGCAGGAGGAAGCAAGATCACTGGGTGTGTGTCTCTGCTGCCCTTGCTCCTTGAGGCTGTGTGATGCCTGGAAGGAGCAGTGGCCGCCCTATCTCTTCAGCTCTAAACTGTAGTGGAGTGTCCTTGTCCAGCTCTCTGCCCAGAAGGGTGGCTCTGAGGGGACTCCAGGCCCTCACAGTTAACCCAAGATCAAGTACTTCTTCAAACAGTGGTCTTAGGCCAGCGGACCCAGCTCTGACCTGCACTCCCCCTGCCCTTTACTTCGAGATCCGAGTGGATATGGGTTTCTCCTCTCCTCCTGCAAGCTACAAAACTAAAAGCCAAAAGTGCTCTTTACTTTCCTGTTTTTAAATGAGAAAGCCTAATTGCTTCACTGGAAATGGTGTCAGCTTCTTCTCTCTTGGTTATTTTCAACTTTCCTTTTTATTTTATTACTAGAGGCCCAGTGCACAAAATTCGTGCATGGGTAGGGTCCCTAGTGGCTGCCGGCTGCTGGCTGCTGGCCAGGACCTCCCTTTCCCATCCCCTCCCCATCTGCCTGCCACGGGCCTGGGCCTCCCCATGGTTGGCCAGCCAGCCCCGCCCCCAGGTCAAACTCCTGGTAGAGGGGACAATTTGCATATTAGGCTTTTATTATATAGGATTAATCCTTACTTGAGGATATTTTTCCATTGATTTTTACAGAGTGGAAGGGAGGGGGAGAGACGAGAAAAAGAAACATCGATGTGAGAGAGACACATCGACTGGTTGCCTCCCACATGAGCCCCAACCAGGACTGGAACTCGAGCCTGCAACAGATGTATGTGCCCTTGTCTAGAATTGAACCCAGAACCCTTCAGTCCATGGTCCGATGCTCTATCCACTGAGGCAAACAGGCTAAGGAAACTTTCTTTTTTGGGGCCTACAAGTTTATAGGCATACGTAAACACAAATTCAGGAAGAGAGAAGTAGAAAAAGCTGACTTGGTGACACGTGGGTTGGGAGGGGAACACAAAGCCCCAAGGTTACTCTTCATTTCAGGAGTCGTAACTGTTTACTCATTGGAGTTTGAATTGATGTATCCTTGCCTTATCTGGCCATCACGCCCATTTCACAGGCCTCTGATTTCAGCTGGTCTTCAAGTCCCAGATGCCCACCCCAACCCCAATTCTCAACAGCTAAGATCACCATAGTCAAATTGCACTGTTCATGTGATACTTAGAGATGCAAAGAATTCACAGAGGCTTTCCTTTTAGATGTTAATGTTTTGGAGTATGCATTGCATTCCCCATATCCTCTGTTGAGCTCATTCTGAGACATCTACTGTGCAGTGGGTGATGCTTCCATTGGTAGTTCTAAGTTCATTTCAAGAATCTCACTGAAGGTTTTCTGGCTGTCTGAATGATTATATATATATATACGGCAGAAATATTTAACATTTGTACAGTCACTTTAAAATCTCAGTGAAGAATGGCTAAAGGAGTTTGTTAAATCACATCCGAGATTCAAATTGGTAGGTCTGGTATGGGTCTCATGAATCTGTATTTTTTAACGACTTTCAGATCCAGAGGATGAGAGGACCACTTTCTGCAAAACACTTATTTGGTATCATCTCTGTAAGGCAATTTGCTAAAAGCGTTGCAGGCCTTATTTTATCAAACCATCACATCAATGCTATAGCACATTATTACTAGCTTTATTTTGCAGATGAGTAAATGGGGGCCGACAAAGAAATTAAAACCTAAGGTCATTAAACAAGTATGTTAAATCACAGATTCAAATTCATTTATATCTACATGGTTGTAAAACCAGACCTCTTTCAATTACATTGCATTATAAAATAAATTCTAGTGTTAAGGATATTTTAGTTTTAGCAAAAATCTCTCAATTCTCTATTAACATATCTTAGTCAAAAAACAACCTGATGTCTGGGTTGAAGGCATGATCCCCAGTAGGGGGAGTGCAGGAGGCAGCCAATCAATGTTTTACTTTCACATTGATGTTTCTCTCTCTCTCTCCCTCTCCTTTTTCTCTCTCTCTAAAATCAATTTTAAAAAGTTTAAAAATGGAGTCTTTAAAAAAATAATAAAAGGGAAAAAAACTACTCTTTAGTCATAATTCATTTATCAATCGTGTTAGTTAGAGTATGAGGTGATAACAAACAAACCCTGGAGAACAATGGCTTGAAACAATTCTGCTTCATTTTCACTTACCCTCATGCCTGTCGTGGATTGTGCTAAGGCTTCTGTGCCATGTTGTCTTCATTCAGGGACACAAACTGGCAAAGCCACTACAATCTGGCACTTCACTGCTCCCTGTGGCAGGGGAGGGAAGTGAAGCAAAAAGTTACCAGCTTTTCTCCCATTTCATTAGCCAAAGCCAGTGGCATGGCCATGCTTAGCATTAGAAGGAGAGGTGCAATTCTGCTGTGTGCTCAAAAGACAGAGAGTTGGAAATATTTGTGAACAGCACAAACATTCGCAACTACTAAAATTAGTGAAAGAAAGCCTGGGTTCAACTTCTGTTTCCACGGTGTACTAACATTATTACTTTAACCAAGTGAATAAATCTCAATTTCTTTCTTTCCTAACCATGTGTGATGTTTATACCACATGGTTGCTGTGAAAAGCAAATAAGATTAAATATGTAAATGGAAGCAGCTATGTGCCTCTCAGCTAGATGCTCTCACTGAAACTAATTGAATTAGAAATAGCACTTTGCTGACTATAGATACCGATGCATGTACCAATGATGTCTCAGATTCACATAGCTGTTACTTGATTTTCACATTTAAATTCAGATATGGTCCTAATGAAACGTGGGAAACCACTGTGAAGGCAGAAATGAAGGCATTAACTCAGTAGTGTGAGAAGCTGTCATAGGCTGGGTTCCCCAGTAAACAGCCCTTAGGGAAAACTTTTTTCTTCTTCTTGTTTTGCAGGAACAGCATCTGCGAAGGCATATGGAAAGCCTGATTGCATAAGAAGAAAATTTGACTTGTGATACAATAATAACAGAACCAATTTGTCTGGGAGCTCTGGATCTGGGACGGCCTTCGGGGATGTTCTGGATTGCGGCAAGGGAGGCAAGCCTAATCTGGCAGCCCTGATCAGGCAATACTCAGTGCAGCTGGGGAAACCGGGAGACTGCGAGCTTCAGGATCTGAGCAACGTACCACAGGATCCACATAAAGTAACCCTGAAAATGGAATAGATTACAAAACTGGGAGACCCCAGACTACGATGTGTCGTGATGTCTCATTAAATCTTGCTTTCATTTGAATAGTAAGTTAACTGAGGTTTTTTTATATACTTAATATTCCAACATATAGACAGAAACATTTATAGGAAAATGCATAGTTGGCGTAGAACCTAAATTATTTTCCTCTTGCCTCTCTGTTGTCCTCATCTAGAAATAATTGCCCTCCTAAGGACCACTATTAGAATGTTAGGTCTAATGCCAAAAGGGAATTTATTTTCATGACAATCACTTCAGAAGTAATTTTCAGACAGCAGAAATCATGATTTGGCTTACTTCTATCTTGGTTAAAATACTTCCCAGACATGTAATTCTTAGGCTGGAATGCCAGAATTCCCCAGGAGTTCTTAGGGATGTCATGGGGAGGCATGAAGGACCCCAAAATAAAGGAAGAACACCTTTCTGGAGCACAGATGGGACTGAATGACTTCAAAAGTTGGGGGTGGAGGGGGAAGTAGACTTAATTTAATGCCTTTCAATATACTAAGGATTACAAAATTGGCTATTTTTAAAGCTAAAACTATATCCTTTATAGATGTAAAGGAGCATTTCAATTTATGTTGGAGCATTCAAACCACAGAGAGACACAAGTTGATTCTGCTCTGTCTTTAAGGAGGGGGGCGGGGGCTTCACTAAGGGCATTTCAAACAGTCTATTCTAAACTGTTACCGCTTTCCCATTATTGTATGGTCACTGTCTATTTCACATTTTACAATTTTTATACTGAAGAGAGACATCCCAAACAATGGTCTCCCTGGGAAGGGGAACAAATAAAGGAGGCTTATATTTCTGTAGAGCACTAAGGGTGACTGGCAACACATCTTACCCTTGGATGGGTCTCTGTGTTAGCAAGCCCAAGGACACTCCAAAGAGACATGAAGAACTCTCCACCTCAAAGTGTCTTCCAAATAAGGTCACGGTGGACTATAAGTAAAAACAAGATGTGAAATAGTATTTATCAAGGGTTTTCCAAAAGCCAAAATCTTTTCACAAAGTTGATCTGCCATAATCCAGTTTTCAATAATTATTTATCATCCTACTCTGATGCATGAAGAAACTGAGGCTTAGAGAAGCTAAGAAAAGGAGAAGGGCTTAATCTCAAGTGTGTCAGTCTGCAAGGCGCCAGCTCATTTATCCACATTAACAAGTTCTTGGCCACAACATTAAATTCTTATAACTAATACAGGAGAAGCCCTGCAGTGTACAGAAAGGGAACAGACAGAAGTGTAGATGCTGAGTCTATCATGTCCTGACTCTATGTATGACATTTGGAAAGGGCTTGGTATTTTTCAGCCTCAGGTATATTATCTGGAAGATGCAAAAAACACAAAAGGACAGCAAAAAAATTGAAGAAGTAATAGTAATTTTGTTAAATACTGTATCTGAGATACATAAAGTCACCTTCTAGGGCAGCGGTTCTCAACTTGTGGGTCGCGACCCCTTTGGCGGTCGAACGACCCTTTCACAGGTGTCGCCTAAGACCATCCTGCATATCAGATATTTACATTACGATTCATAACAGTAGCAACATTACAGTTATGAAGTAGCAACGGAAATAATTTTATGGTTGGGTCACAACATGAGGAACTGTATTTAAAGGGCCAGAAGGTTGAGAACCACGGTTCTAGGGCCTTTCAGATCTGGTGTTGTATAAATCCTTAAATGATGACTTCAATTCACATGCCTAGGTGAACAAAACGTGCCGCTCTGCCTCCCCAGTCTGCTTAGAATGAAACCCTGGGGATCCCCCCAGTAGCTCTGCCTGGACAGAGGAGGGAAACATTTTACCTCAGTGGTTCCCCTGTCTGTAGAGTCAGCCTGGCCCTGAAATGTATGTGTTCTCTCAGGCAGTTACAGACAATCAAATTATCCTTTTGTTTTCCCAGAGAAGCCGTGGTGATAGTTCCAGTAGACTTCTCCTTCTTTTTTTTTAATCTTCCTCTTCTTCCTGACCCATTTTTACATGGGATATTTTCTCTAGCAATTGAGCGAGTTTTAATTAAGCCTGATAATTCTGGGGTGCCTTGCACATGCTCCCTGATGAGTAGGATATAAACGGACACAATAAACAGACCATCTAATATTGAGAGAGTCTACAGCTGCATCTGCTAATTAGGGCCAATAAAGACTTTTTGGGGCAAGAGTTCCCATGTGACGTTTGTTTAATTAAAGCCTTTGTCTGTCCTACTCAGAAGGGTGAAAAATATTCCACTTAAAATGTACTGAAAACAAACATAGCCTTTAGAATGCAGAACATTCCATAATAATCCCTCCTGGGCTCCCAGAAGGAAACTTTTAGGCCAAAATAATATATATAATTTTTGATAATACATACAATGCTTTTGTTGTCATTTTAATTAAATCAGTTAATCTAGTCTATTTCACAATCCACATAGGAGTAGGTCTGGCCAGTAAACTCTAAGTATGGAGCAGGTTCAGAGATAAGCCAGGGAGGGCTGGGGCAGGGACCCTGGGCCCTACTGGTAGAATGGATTGCTCATCTGTTACCCTATGGATGATAAGCTCATTTTGACCAACTATATAATTGTTTGCTCTCAATAACAGGCTGAGGTGTTTTTTTGTGTGTGTTTTTTGTTGTTGTTGTTTTTTTTTAATGGTTTATTGCTTAAAGTATTACAAAGGGTATTACATATATGTCCTTTTTTTTCCCCGCCCTTGACATTCCCCTGGCCTCCCCTACCCCCGCCCCCCCGTGTCTTATGTCCATTGCTTATGCTTCTATCCCTGAATGAGTGAGATCATGTGGTATTTTTCCTTCATTGACTGGCTTATTTCACTTAACAGGCTGAGTTTTTTACTGTAGAAGTTTAATTATCTGTTACAGGTCAAGGAATAAGATGCATTGTAATAAGATGGTAAAGTGGAGAGGGCCTTGGGCAGAAGACAGGAAGTGTGGTTTGTGGTCCTGACTTTGCCATGAATTTAGAAAACTATTCTTTAAGTCATAGTTGCTTTATCTATAGAAATGGAAGCATGATATTTAGGGAGGACTTCAACTTGCTTGATTTCAAGACTTTGCTGGTTTAATTTATTTGATTACACTCTCTTTAACTAGGGAATTTTTCCAAATACAGTTCATATAAATTGCCAATTTTTAAATAATTAACATAGAAAAGCATATATTAATGAATTGGTAAATAGTTCATGACACATCTTGTAGGGTTCTTATTTTTGATGATACATATAGCAAGGTAGTTTAATTTACTATGAAGAATTTAAATTATCAATAAATTATAGATACTGGGAATGCATAGAAAGTATTGGCAATTAGAATCCTAGATGAAAGGTAGACTTCAATCTATATGGCCATCCTTAGTTCATTAGCCCTACGTTCTGCTAAAAACAATAAACATTACAGTGTCTTGATTCAAGACACACTTTATTTCCTCTCCACCTTTTAATGTTTCTGAAATCAAGATGCTCCTTCAAATCAAAACCCAAAGGGGCTAGCCTAAATTGTAACAGAGCTGTCATTGTCTATAGGTATGCAAATTTAGTTGTGTGTGTGTGTGTGTGTGTGTAGATAACTTTTTATCTGACACTCATCTTTTAATATGCCAAGGATTAAATTTCCACTTTTAACTTTGGAACCTTAATTATTACTAAATATACCTTCCATAATCTTACACTAGGAAGCAGTATTAAAAAACTAAAGTTATTCTAAATGTTGACACTTTCTTGTCACACATAAGTCAATAAATAAAAAATAGTCAATTTCCCAAGTGTCCCTGGGCAAGTAATGAAAAGTGTCTCAGGGCAGTTAATGAAATAGTCAAAGCTATGATAGATTGAGCAGGTCACCTGTGTGAAGAACTGTGACTTCTGACCCAGAATCCTACCTTTATAAACTACCTTTTCTCTTTTCTTTCCTTCCTTCCTTTCTATTCCTTCCTTGCTTCCCTCTCTTCTTCCTTCCTTCTTTCTTTTTTAAATAAGTGACTATTTTTAATATCTTTACACTATTAAAAATCCAGTGCAAATATAAAATTACAAAGAAGAAAGTAAAATAACAGTGTCTCATCACCAAAAAAAATGATTAGTAATATTAGAAAATATCAATCCAGAATTATTTATATTCATATGTACAGATAAAGGGATAGACAGGTACCAGCATACTTTGGAGTTGTTGTGGGTTTCATTCCAGACCCCAGCAATGAAGTGAGTATCACAATAAAGTGAGTCTTAATAATTTTGCAGGTGGACGGTCTTGCATTCAATTTGTCAGAAAGGTAACACCTGTGAAGCACAATAAAATAAGGTATGACCTCAGATAGATAGATAGATAGAAATTGTTAAGATATGGGGGTTGACTTATGCATATTTTCTTAATGTAATGTATTCTATTTACTTTTACTTTAACACATAAAAATTCAATATAGCAAATGGCTTAGTATACACACAACAAACCAATTCTTTGTTCAAAGACCATCCATCATACCATCTGAGACTTCTTTAAAAAATATTTTTTATTGCCCTAACTGGTTTAGCTTAGTGGATAGAGCATTGGCCTATGGACTGAAAGGTCCCAGGTTTGATTCCAGTCAAGGGCATGTACCTTGGTTGCGGGCACATCCCCAGTAGGAGGTGTGCAGGAGGCAGCTGATTGATGTTTCTTGCCCATCGATGTTTCTTACTCTTTGTCCCTCTCCCTTCCTCTCTTTAAAAAATCAATAAAATATATTTAAAAAAATATTTTTTATTGATTTCAGAGAGGAAGGGAGAGGGACAGAGAGACAGAAACATCAACAATACTTCCTGCATACCCCCCACTGGAAATCAAGCCCACAACCCAGGCATGTGCCCCAACTGGGAACTAAACAGAGACCTCCTGGTTCATAGGTTGATGCTAAACCATTGAGAAATACTGGCCAGGCCCATCTGAGACTTTAATTCTCCGTATTCCCCCATACAATAGCAATTAGGACTTCTTAACTTACAAGGAAACAGTAGCTTGAGCCAAAAAAAAAAGGTATCCTATATAATAAAAGCATGATATGCAAATCCTACTGAAGGGTGGAACGACTGGTAGCTATGATGAGCACTGACCACCAGGGGGCAGACGCTCAATGCAGAAGCTGCCTTCTGGTGGTCAGTGTGCACACCACTCAGCCAGAAGCCAACACTAAGGAGCAGCCAGCTGGGCGGTAAGGAGCAGGGAGTGGGTCGATGGTAAGGAGTGAGGGGTCCTGGACTGCAAGAGGGTACAGGCTGGGCTGAGGGACCCCCACCCCTCCAGTGCATGATTTTTGTGCACTGTGCCTCTAGTTGCATTATAATGAAAGAGGGCAAATTCAGAAAAATTCCAGTGCTGCTGTGTCTCAAGAAGATAGTGCAGCTAGAAATAGAAAACTGAATGGCCTGTTTCTTTCGTTTAAAAAAAAAATAGATATTTATTTATTAAATTAATTGGGGTGACAGGAGAAGATTTGGCTTTGGGTGGTGGGCACTTGGTGCAATATACAGATTTTGTAACATAGAAACCCACACCTGAAACCTAAATGGCCTGTTTCTTACCTCTGCTCCTGTTACAAGTCTCTCTCTCTTCCCAGGTTGATGTCCTTCATTTAAATTATTCATCTATATCAGAGGTGGGGAACATCAAGCCCTTGGGCCTTATGAGGCCTAGGAAATGTTTGACCAAATATAGCAGGTCAATTTTTAAGTTGATAATTTTGTATGGCCTAGGAATGATATTATAAATATCCAAATGGCCCTTGGCAGAAAAAGGGTCCCCACCCCTGGTCTATATGAAGGGATTACTTCTCTATAAAACCAGAAAATAATACATAATGAAGAAAAATGTGATTATGATAATAATGTTGATGGTGATGATGATGATGTAACTACTTGATATGCCTGAAAACAAGGGTAATATCTAGCTAATAGGGTTGTTGTTAAATATTGGACAAAATCATATATGGAAAAATCTAGCCAAGTTCCCAACACAAGGCAAATTAAAGGTCGAGTATGTTTGCAACACAAAGGGCCTTGTGTTCTGGCTTAATGGAAATATTAGTTAGCAGTCATCTGCTAAATATTAGTTAGAAGTTGCTGTGTGCCAGGCAACTTCTGAATTTAAGGCTTAAGGTAAATTATCATCTGTTGTTGTTGTTAATTCTCACCCAAAGATATTTTTCTATTGAAGGGAAGGAGCCTGTAACCCAGGTATGTGCCCTTGACCAGAATCAAACTGGGACCCTTCAGTCTGCAGGCTGACACTTTATCTACTGAGCCACACCAGCTAAAGTGGTAAATTATCATTTTTAATATTCTTGACAACTGTAGGAGGAGGAGGATCTCATTATCCCCCGTTGCCAGATGAGGAAACTAAAACAGCAGATGAGAAAGTATTAGAACCTGGAATTGAAGATTGCCGGTCTGACTCGAGGGCTTGTGTGCCCTTAACCTCTGTGTTACAGTAACTCTCAGTTTGAATTTTAACCCAAAGACAAAGGCAAAGGGTTTAACCAACGCAGTTTTAGAAATAATTTGACACAGATTTGGTTTGTTTAAAGGTCACTCAGATGATAAAATAGAGAATACTTTCATGAATAAAGATTAGCTCTCAGTATTGCTAGTAAGAAAATAATTGTGTGCAAAGAAATTAAAAATACATGCAACTCAAAATAACCTGGATGAACATTTCACAGCCCTGAATCCATTTGATGACTTTAGAAGGTTCACACCAAGATTACCCTACATGCTGGTTTTTCAGAAAATATAGTTTTCCTGCTTTTCTTCTGTGAGGCAAAAATCTAGCTCACGGTGAGATTACTGGTTCTTGAGTCACTGACAGTGTGCCACACCTCGGGATAAAACAGACTCAGGTTCATGAAGAGATAAGTCAGGTGTTAGCATTCCCGGGATCAGACTGAGAGGGACTCCAGAGGGACACAGGAGGCCTGAGCTGACATATCTCTGAGGCACAGGCACCCAGAGCAAGCACCTCGTGCTACAAATTCTCACCCTAACAATTGCACTGGAGAAAAGTCTAATCCAGTCAAAATGTTTCATCTTCATTCCAGGCACAGCTCCAGTTTCCATTTGCAAGCTCATGAGAAAAACTTCAGATTTCTCTGAGCGATTGGTGTTCATACTCAATTTCTCTTCTCTCTCTCTCATACACACATTTATACATATATGTATATGTACAAATGTATATATGAAGACATATACACATACAGCTGCATACATTAGTGATTAATTTCTCTTTGATAGGTTTAAATAAATTCAGTTCCTGACAAATGGATATTCTTTTGTTCCCTTTCATTATAACTCAGAATTCTCTTCAGTTCCTTGTGTTTTTTAGTAGTTTATTTTTGTGTTCTAGGTGCCTTCAAATTCTGCTCAGGGCCCACCTCTGTAAGTAAGTAATAGATTCAGGGCAACAAGAAATAGCTTTTTTATTTCTAGTTTCCCGGGTCTGTTTCATGATATTTTAGTCTGTCTTTGCTTTTTCAGGACACGGAGGTCTTGCTGTTCTGGTCACAAGAGGAAAGAAGCCCATCTTCTCCCCCCCTGGCAACCAGCCTGCATTTCAGGGGTGAGGCCGTTGGCCTAGATACACTGCAGAGTGATGTGGTCACTTCCCCTGACTACACTTCCAGATGTTATTTAACGGGATACTAACCCATTATATAACCGCTGGATGACCTCTAAATACTGCATAGCCCTCTCCTTCACACTTAGGAATGTCTGGGCAGTTATCAAACATCAATATGAGGTTTACATAGGAATTATCCCCCACAGATTTCTATCAAGACCCAGAAATAAAGTATAACTAAGAAAGGGTCTTTGTGTTTATGCATAGGCAACGATCTCTCTGGAAAAGGCAGAAAGATTTACTACCCATGACAAAGGAACTGTGGAGATACTAGGATTTTTGCTATTTATTAGATTTCATAGTCATATTTAGATTAAGAGATCTGAGTGTCTTTTTTTTACCACAAAGAACTGCCTTGCAGAAGGTCCACTTCTTCTTTGCCCTTATGTACTAATATTCAGAACAGCAGAAGAATTCCCTTTTCCTCTACATATCTAGATACATGACATGATGGAGTGTTATTTATTGATTTGACCGAGAGAGAGAGAGAGGAGAGAGAGAGAGAGAGAGAGAGAGAGAGAGAGAGAGAGAGAGAGAGATCACTTAGTTGTTCCACTTATTTATGCATTCATTGGTTGTTTCTTTTATGTGCTCTGACTGGGGATCAAACCCACAATCTTGGTTTATCAGGACAGCACTAACTGAGCTAGCTGGCCAGAGTCAATAGTGTGATTTTTAGAATTTATTTTACTGTTTAGAGTTTATTTATGTATCTTTTAGTGTTTATTTTTTCCAAAACAACATCTAAATTTAAGCACAGGTGAAATGAAACAACAACTTACAATTATTAGATGAGACTATTTCTATTATTCAACTAACAAATATCTTATTTAGCACCAATTATGTGCCAACAGTTACGTTAAGTATGGAAAATGTATACTCTGTGTTCTACATTTTCTTAGGATGCAGAAAGTGAAAGGAGAATGTTGCTTCCCCTCTAATCATGAGAATAAGCTGGATAATATACAGAATCATAAAAGGTTTTTAGTCTATTAAGAATCTAAGAGCACAGGGTGACCTACTGAACTGAAATGCAAAAGGTGACAAGTCTCTGATGAAAGGACTTACCTTCGGCAGAGCAGTGAGAAGAGGAGGAAGCTGAACGTGGGTAAGAAGAAAATAGATGAAATTTTTATTTATTTTTATTTTTTTTGCTGCCTGGACCTGGAATAGAATCATGACCTCCTGGTTCATGGGTCGATTCTCAACCACTGGGCAACACTGGCCAGGCTTAATTAATTGTTAAACACTGAGGCACAAAGATCACATTACCCACCCAATTCCTTCCCTGGCCTTCACTGAGAGCTCACAAAGAAGACTAGGGACAGAAAAGAGGAAATAAAAGAGACGCTATGGTGCAAGTGTTCATGGCCTGAGTCTGATGGTGAAGAAAGGTAATGAAAGAAGCCTTCTGCATGCCAGGCACTGAGAGCTGGGAGCTGGCACTCATCACTGGAGGAGGCAGGGGCACGGCAGGAGATCACACTCCCCAAGACATAGGTGCGCAGGGCCTACCTGAGCCTGCAGGAGGACAGCAAGATACCCTCCAGCGCTCCAGGCCTCATACTAATTATAAGGAAGCATCACTCTGACACTGGGGAGTTGAAGACTGTAACGCATAGAATGTAACTAAAGCAAAAATAATCTCAGATCAACCAAAGCAGGCAAGAAAAAAGGAATAGGGGAGACAGAGTGGGTGGGACAAATAGAAATTAAGCACTGACATGGTAGACAGAAATCCACCCATCTCAGTAACTATTTTAAGTGCAAACGGATTCAACACACTAACAGATCAGGCTGGATTCTAAAAATGACCCAACTATATATTCTGTTTGTAAATAACACATGAAACACAATCAAGTTGAATAATGAAGTTATAAAATGATATACAGGGTGGGGGTTTACAGTTGTGAGCACATGAAACACAGAGTTAATTTTTATATTATTATTTTTTACTGTGTTTTTTTTTTCCCATACCAAGAACTTAAAACCTACTTTTGCCCCACCCTCTAGTTTTCAAACACTACACTTAAATTGGTGTCACTTGTGATTTAAAAAGGTGCCCGCCTGATAATACCTGGTTATAGAAATCCATCCACCTTTCCCTGTTGATCACCTATACCCTGTAAAACATCCCATACCTCCATCTCTATGCTCACACTATGCTTTATTTGCCACACTTTCTATTTTTCACTGAGCAGCACCCATGTATTTTTCTGATTGTTTATTATGAACCTAATACTATGAAACAATTAAACTCAGCAAAGTCATCAAAGTTTACAATCTCATTAGAGAAGCATGACACAGAAAGATAGCAAGTGTTAAAAGATTTGGCAAGGGCAGTCCATCTACAGATATTTGGAAAAGTAAGTCTCACAAGGATAACGGTGAGACAGACAATGCTTTGAAGTTATCAGCAGCCTTCTAATCTCACTGTGTGCAGTCTTCCCTTCCTCTCAAACTTTTCTTAAAAACAGATAAAAATATAATCAAAGTAAAGATCTGATTGTATTATTTCCCTTTGTAAAATCTTCCTCCCCACTGACCCCACTCTCACTGGCAGGTGGGTCTACTCAGTACTGTTAAAATCCAATGTATCCTCAGCCCGACACTGCAGCCTTCCTTCCTCCCCAGAACCTTGAACACTCTCCTGGATTGTACTCCAGGCCCCCGCCCTCCCTACACACACACACACTCACACACACACACAAAGCCCTGCCCGCTTTCCTGTATTCGAATACCATGCTTCCCTATCATATTGTTGGATCCTGACACTATGCCTACCTACTTCATCCAGGCACTACCTACCTGGGGGTCTCTTTCTAAGCTTTACAACCATGTTATGCCAGCATTTGAACCCAGTGGGCTCCGGCTACCACGTTCCACCAACTGTAGAGCATGTCCCCTTAAATATCAATAGTGCCTCCATCACATCACCATGTGTCATTGGAATCCATGTACTGGACTGTTGTTTCCCTTTATTCCATACCGACCCACCTGTGAGGCCCTGCACTGCTTCACAAATAGAGGGTTCTCACACTATTCCCATTCCATTTGACTGTCCCCTCAGCAAGTTCTAATCTCCTTTCTCCACAAAGAAAGAACAAAGGATCGGGAGCAATATGACAGGATTGAAATAAGCAAGAATTATTATCAAATTGAAAGATAGGGAAGTACTGGTACTGGTTTTTAATACAAAGGAGACAGGCTGGGTCCCGGTCTCATAACAAAGGCTTTGGAGCTCCCAAAGCGTTGAATGATATGAGGGTATGAAGTAGAGGATGGTGAGTTTATAGAGGCAGGAGTCCTAGGTAAAATAAATGTTCTAGAAACAAAGGACATGGGTGATCCTAATTTATGGCACTGGGATATATTCACTTATGGGCATGTTGGTAGACGACCAAGCCCACACCTGTTTTATAATAATAGATCAGTCACAGCTAGGATGATTTACCTTCAAGAGTAGTGTTACAGTACTCATGCTAAGGAAGGCATAAATAATTCTCCAAGTCATTATTGGCCAACAGTGGTGTATAATTTTTCTGTCAGGTACAGTTAAAGGGAGAATTATTAACTCAAAACCTACTACATTACATTACATAAAATAAACATTGAAAGGGATATGGCAAAATGGAAAAAGAATTGGCTTAGGTTTAAGCTGTGGGATCAAGTACTGGTTTTTCCAAATACCCTGAGTCAGGCTTTTGAGCTCACTGAACCTCAGTTTTTGCACCTATAAAATGGGCTATTAAAACTTGCCCTACCTATCTCAGGTTATTGTAAGGAACAATATAGACAATACACTACCATTCATGGGTAGTTATTTTGTCTATTGTTATGGCCATTTTCACAGGCATAGTGTCTCATAATCTGGTTAATATAATGTCTTATTTTTGACATATAAATAGTCATTAGGAGTTTTAAATCCCCTTTTTAACACAGGATATTTGAAGATCTGCTTTTGAGGCCAGAGTTTTCAGCAGAGACCAGGATAATTCAGCCGCCAGCTATAAAGCATAACAGCAAGCTCCAAAAACACTACTCGGTTCTGAATGGAAAAATACTTCTGCCAAACCAAGTCTTAGGGGATTTATAGTTGTTTCTCATGTTTCCCCGTGAAAACAGCATCTTTCAAATTTCATTTTTTTATGGGGCTGTTAGGGTAACAAGTATCATCTGTTTTCCAGGCCTGGGAAATGGATCCAGTTAAACTGAATTTAAGGATGCGATATATTTTAGGGAAGCCAGTAACTTACATCTTGAAGGCAGGGACAGCACCGATTGAAATAAGCACAGGTGTGTGGCCTCCAGCTTATCGTTGGCACATTCAGGTCTGCCTCTGCTCAGACAGCTCCCAGACAGACTGGCATCAACTGTCAGAACTGGCATCAACACCTTCGGGGGACAACAGCCAGAGAAATATTTGACAACCAATCATGTTACAACTGACTAGGAAATGCTATCTTCACTTTTCATCATTCTCACCCTCTGGGCAGATTAGAAAAAGGAGGGGGGTCTGTTACAAGCAGACCACATGTCTAAATTCTAAGCATCTGGAACAGTGAGGGCGAACCTTTTGGGCTCGGCGTGTCAGCATTTTGAAAAACCCTAACTTAACTCTGGTGCTGTGATACATATAGAAATTTTTTGATATTTGAAACCATAGTCAAACAAAGACATATTTTTGAGATTTATTTTATATATTTAAATGCCATTTAACAAAGAAAAATCAACCAAAAAAATGAGTTCGCATGTCACCTCTGACACA